GGGGGGGGGGGGGGGGGAAATGCAGGGAGTTGAAGTCCACCCATCTTCTGGTTGTCAAGGTTGAGGAACACTGGTATAAACAATCCATCGCTACATTCAAGGTCTGAGAGCAAGCACAGTGTGTCCTGTGCTCGGGGCCTAAACCAGTGTTTCTCAACCTTGGGAACTTTAAGATGCGTGGACTTCAACTCCCAGAATTCCCCCAAAGTCCGCACATCTTAAAGTTCCCAAGGTTGAGAAACGCTGCCCTAAACTAACATGCAACCATTGTGTGCTAACTGCACAGGCCAGAGAAAGAAAGGGGTCAGCAGGTGCATTCCACACTTAGCAAGAAGCCCAAATGAACACAGTGTGCTAATGCACTGCAGTCCATATTAAATGACTCCCGTTACTCTCTGTAAACATATAGCGGTCAACAAAGCTCTAAAAATAAAAGAGGAACACAGCAACAAAAATAAATTCAAACAGAAAAGGAAACAAAAACACTCCCCTCTACACAAAACACATCGTTTGGGACATATATACAAATGCATTTATGTTAATGAGAGATTTTAAACTTTCATATCCAATTTGTTACCCGTAAAGACCTTTGTGGAGAAGGAAGAAATCCATTATTATTTTGTTCACATATATAAAAAATGGAACCCAAAAGTGTATAAAACAATATTTAAGTATATGTTCCACAAGTCTTTGCTGTGCCTTCATTTTCAACCAAAGCTATTTTCCTTGCTTTGAAATACCAGTGACTTCCCACCCCACTCCATGTACTTTAGTTTCCAGTTTTTTCTTATAGTTCATAAATCCCTTGCCTTAAACCATTTTATATGAGCTAGGGAAAACAGACAATATGGTAAAACTAAACTAGCACTGCTAATTAAAGACCACCAAGGCATTTTCCCAAGTTACTCATAGTCAATCAAAATTAATCATAAGGGACTTTACCACCACAATACCTCCAAAACAATCTAGAAAGCCTTTTATTAATATACAAATTCAAGGGAGAATAACTTTCTAGCTGAAACGAGAGAGAGATGGGGTGGGGTGGGGGGAAACCATCTCCTCACCTTCTCGACTTCCAGGTCGATATTGTAAAGAACCCTCTGCAGCCGGACGTTCACGAGCTGGATGCGTTGGTTCTCCTCCTCGGGGCTTGGGGGGTCATCGCTATCCACTAAAAGATGGCCTTTCTGCTCAGTGAACATGGTCTGCCGTCCCTCATGCTGCTGCAGCTTCATCTTCTCTTTCCTGCTCGTGGCCGTCTTGCCTTTTTTCATTTTAGGGGTCATCTTGGGTGAGCTCTGGACACTAGCATGGGAGGATTCCCAGGCTAAGGTGGCATTTTTCATCTCTATGGCTGCGTGAGGACTGGCTGGTTTTTTCTTTACCATATGAACCTCTTCCATTAGAAACAAACTCTGATAGGAGTTGTGAGAGAGGTGCAAAGATGAGACACCTGGTCAAGACTGAGGGGGGGACAAGTCTATGGCACACTCACGCAGCAAAACACATCAGGCTATACAGTGCGAGGAAGCTGAAGAGCAAAAGGTAGCTCATTAGTGAAAACTAACTCCAGGTCCTTAAAAGGGGCCTGGTTACCCACGAATGCAGTGGTCCTCAGACAGAGAGACTTAGACTCTGGATCCATTTTGCAGATTAGAAATTTTGCATACTGGAAACACCGCAAGCTTAAAAGGGTGAGAGCATTTCTTAACCAAGGTTTGGAAAAGGCTCAATTCTCTGCTGCACAAAAATCAGGCACCTAGGGATTTGACCATCTATTACCATTGAGAACAAAACAGCATCATTAAAAGCCAGAGCCTCTATGTCATGTTTTCCACCACATCCGTCTGTTCAAAAATATTCTCAGGCAGTTCTGCAGTATTTGTTCCAACAGTTTACACAGAAAAACCAAAAACAGTTTGAGTTAGTTAAACAAGTATTTCCAAAGATACTTATTTCTTTAATGACTCCCGTCCCCGAAATAATTATGGGAATTGCACTGAAATGATCCACAGATAAGCAATCTATAAGCCTCTGTCCTAAGAGACAATATTACTGGTTTTCTCTGAAGCATTCCTCTTTCCCTACCTTCTCTTGACTAAGATTTAGCATCCTGCATATTTCAAAATGATAATGTTGTTCTCACCAACAATTAAAAAAAAAAATTATTCCACTGGCCTAAATGACTTGCTTGCTGATGGAATTCCTGCGTACTCAAATGACAAACCTAAAAGCAATTTACAATTCAAAGCATATATACAATGCCTTCATGCAATCTCAGGTAGATAATTCTGCTGATAACATAGTTCTACAGTGAAAAAAAAAGTTGGACATTAGCTAGTTCAAGCACAGTGAGAGAGGAATTGCAAACATTCAGAAACTGAGAGAAAAATGAAAATTGAAGAGCACATCTCAGTTGGGCTGTTCCCAATATTTTCCAGGTTATGTTCTGAAATGCACTTTAAAGTAATTGTGACAAGAACGAGGCCGATCAGCCAGCTTTCCATCTGAATGAACTACGCATGCTAGAATCTTCAGCAACTCACAAGAGTTCTACTGTAGACAAGCAAATATGGAAAAGCTTTTTTTTTTTGAAAAAAATATGAAAACCACTGCCAAGCAATTTGGTACTATACGCTACCATAAGGCATGCTGTAGGTTGCATTCTACAAGACTGTGCATGCACGTATCATGCTTCATTTCCATGCTTTAAATTTATTTTTAAAAGGCTGCAATCCTATCCTCTGACTTGGTAGTAAATTGAATGCAATTAATTACTAACATTAGGGATGTTAGTATTTTACAGCAAAATGGCCACATTTGCAAGCTTTCACTAATAAGAATTTCAGGGTGTTTAGATCATGCTCCTTGTGGTGAGAAAAGAGTGATGAAGGTAGCAAGATATTTAATATGTGAATATTTTAGAATATGCAAAAGACTCCAACCAACTAGTAAAACACAGCAAGGCAAAGATGACTCACTTTAAATCTATCAGCTGCAACAGATGCTTCAGACAAGGACTTCACAGAAAACGGAGTGACTTTCAAAGCAAAGGTCATGGAATTGAATACTGTCACCACTGTAAAAGCCTGAAACACAGATGGAAATAGCCATTTTTGACTGCAGCAGCAATCATAAGCCCTACATAAATCCAAGAATTTATACCTAATCAACAACAGTGACAATATTCTTTCAGGTTAAAAATAAATATTCGACAGATTGCAGGTGGATAGAAGGAAGAGAGAAGAGGAAATTATATTTTGCTCCAGAAGTTCCAAGCTTTTGTGTTTTCATTGTTTTGAGCAGAAGGTCAAAACTTGATTGTACTTCTGTGCTCTTCCTCTAGGATAGATAATAATCTACCAACTGCTAACAAGAATAAAAGGAACTAGGTATCACTCAGCTGATGACTCAGATGATTTTCTTTCTTCCTGGAAACTAGTAATAGGAGGAAGATCATAGCTGGACTTGTTTTAATTCCTAATTATAACAAGTGTGGCAATCAGATTTCACATGGAAGTTTTTCATAAAACATGAATACTGTAGCATAAGTTTTTTTACAGGGTCAACAGTAGAATCCCCTTTTAGTTTAAGAACACTGAGCACTCAATTACATTTTTGGTACAGTCTATATACAGCAACAATGAAATGCCTCAAGCAGACATAGATATTCTTTCTTATTTTCAAATACTATTAAAGCCATAAGTCCACTTGGAATAATAAAAATTACAGGAAAGGGGGTCCTGCAGGAACATCCCAAAAAGATATCAGCTTTCCTCAACACCTACAACAATCAGAAACACAAAAGATGCTGACCACAGCTTACTATTGTACTGGAGTTTTTTCCTAGGTTCACTTTATTTCCCAGTTCACAAATGTCATTAATGATATCTTCATGAAGGACTAACCCTGCCCCCTGACAACTTTTCATGACACAGGAAAACGATATGCATATTTGTATCAGACCATGTGAGAAAAGTGTAGATGATCTCAAATTCATAAAGTTATCCCTTTCCATGTCTGAAGTGAATACCATCTGTTCCCAAGAATTACCTGAGCTGCTGTGAGATCATAGCCGAGGATCATATGAACAGAGAAGGTCACCACACTAGCTATAACAACAACGATGGGTGCCACTCCTACAGTGATACTCTGGAAGTATCCTGCACGCTCCAGAATTTTGCGTTCTTCCTCTCTGATTTCTGGGAAGGCAGGACACAAAGTAATTACCAGAAGATTAAGTTAATTCCAAGTTAACTGTGGTTTTGTCATCTGCAGGAACCACACCTAACAGCAGACTAAAATGAAAATGCAAAAGTTAGCATGATTTATACATTTTAAAAGAACTGGTTTGTATTCAGATTGGCCCTTCCTGCCAACAAAAATGCAAGGCCAATTTTATCCTATGATTAGCCATGCAAGTGTAGAAAAACCAAACAAATCTCCCTTTTGCATATCCAGTATTTGCAGCAGCCAGCAGTAGAGTACAGAGTTACATAGTACAACCATTTCATTGGCCAGAGAGGAGAGTAAAGGAAGACCCATGGATGAGACAATAAAGAAACAGGACACTCACTTTGAACAGTCTGAGAGAAGGCTTTCACCCAAGCATACATTTTGATGAATTTAATATAGTTAAGCACTTCATTCATTTTCTGGACACGCTCATCAGTTGCAGACACACATTTCCTTCTGAAATAAGCTGTAAAACGTGATGCAAACATCTGGAATCGAAGGAAAGATGGTATCAGCAGAACAAAAGGTGCAGATTCCTTCAGCCAACGAACAAAACACTGTCAAAAGCTTCATCTATTGGGTGAATTAGCTAATACCTAGAACAGTGTTTCTCAACCACAACAACTTTAAGATGTATGGACTTCATACTCCCAGAATCCCCCAGCCAGCATCCTGGCTAGGGAATTCTGAGCATTGACGTCTATGCATGCTGGCTGGGGGATTCTGGGAATTGAAGTCCATGCAAAGTTGCTGAGGTTCAGAAACACTGCCCTAGGAGACCAGCCCAGAGGAACTTTTCTCCTCAGACTGTGGATAAGAAAAATTGTCTCTTCGCTTCACCCTGAGCTCTGCTAGCTGCATTCCCAACATTTCTCAGCTTCTTCATCACTCTTGGGGATCCCTCTATCTCACACGCTATTTATCAGTTGGGTGGCATGGAAGGAAGAACATTCAGAAGCAATCATGATAGCTGTTCAAAACGCTGCAGTTTCTGAATTATTTTCATAGGCATTTCCTTGAATGAAGGATTTCTTTAAACTAGATTTGCCTGCTGGTATGCAGATGTGCAGCTGTCAGGCCCAGCCCAAGAAACAACGGTGAAACTGTCCATTTGAGTTAAGTCCCTTTATTTGCTTACACCTTATAGACTGAATCTCGCCAGACTAAATCTATACTCCTGCAACTAGTGGATATACCCTGGGAGATTCTAGGGAGCGGCTGTCCTGAACCTCTTTCTTTTCTCACCCCCCGCCCCCGCAGACTGTGTTGTCTTGTGCCTCCTCCCCGCTCCTGGTGGCCTTGCTCTCCATTGCTATCCCTCACATCGCCCTCCTCTTTGTAGACACATTCCATCACATCAGCCTAATTTCAGTTCTTACCACCATTAGCAGCAATTTGCATGCTTCCTTAGCAAGGGCCTGAAGACTATTTCAGCCCCACAACAACAAAGAAGTAAACCCACATGAACTATAGGGTAGCATAAGCAAAAAAAGATACATGGTTCAGTATTCTTGTGCTGAATTAATAGTCTGTTTAGGCAGTTAGTTTTTCTCAGTAATTTTTGAGATTATTTTGAATCCCTGCAGAGTCAGGCTGTAGCGTGAATAACAATATCCACTATATTCTGAACCCCGTTTTAGCACTCATCACAACTGCAATCCAACAGTGGTTTCACTTTTAAGTCGGTAGTTTTCTACTCACCATTGCTGGGTAGAAGAGGATGAAAACAGCTGAACCCAAGAAGCCGGTCGGTCCAAGAACAACAACATTGTAAACCATGCCAAGAATGGCAACAATAGGACCTCCAGCCAATAAGCTACCCACAGCCGCAGCTTCAAACATTCGCTGGCCATCATTGGAGCATACATTTATCAGCTGAAACATATACAGTGCAAATCAGAAATCATCCAGGGCAAAGGACAGAAATCGCTGTTAGCTTTGCTGTCTTCTATATTGTTTAGACCAATGTTGTCCAAACTTGGCCACTTTAAGATGTTGTTGTTGTTCAGTCGTTAAGTCGTGTCCGACTCTTCGTGACCCCATGAACCATATTGCTGGCTGGGGAATTCTGGGAGCTGAAGTCCACTCATCTTAAAGTGGCCAAGTTTGGACAACACTGGTTTAGACCACTGGCTGGGGAATTCTGGGAGCTGAAGTCCACTCATCTTAAAGTGGCCAAGTTTGGACAACACTGGTTTAGACCACTGGCTGGGGAATTCTGGGAGCTGAAGTCCACTCATCTTAAAGTGGCCAAGTTTGGACAACACTGGTTTAGACCACTGGCTGGGGAATTCTGGGAGCTGAAGTCCACTCATCTTAAAGTGGCCAAGTTTGGACAACACTGGTTTAGACCAAACAGGTACAGGAAAGAAAAGCAGTGTACTATTAATAAAAGAAGCACGTTTAATAATTTAATAAAAATGGGGGGAGACCCCCCCCCAGGCTAATCGCAGTGTCTCCTCCCCAAGAGGGAGTTCACCACCATAAACAAGGCTGCCGGACGGCAGCACTCTGATGCATTAAGGGAGAAGAAGTGAGAGCGTACACAAATATGTAGCTTTAGCTCATTCTCCTCAATAAATCAATGAACAAGTGTAACGTTTTTGACTTATTTGTTTAATTGGGTTCTCTTTATCTAGTTTTAGGGCTTGTGTGGAGAACAGATCACGTTTTAGGTCATATTTAT